TTCACACAAAAACTTGTGCTATGAATGCTCATAGCAGCATTATTCGTTAACAGCCAAAGAGTGAAAACAACCCAATATCCACCAACTGATGAGTAAATAAATGAAATGTGTATGTCCACACAATGGAATATTATTCAGGCATAAAAAAGGATGAAGTGCTGATACATGCGACAACATGTATGAACCCTGAAGACATTATGCTAAGTAAAAGAAACCAAACACAAAAGGTCACGTGTTGTATGATTCTGATTATATGAAACATTCAGAATGGCCATAGAGACAGAAAGTAGACAAGTGGTTGCCAGGCACTGGAGTAAGGGGGGATGGGGAGTGATTGCTAATAAGTATGGAGTTCCTTTTTGGTGTGATAAAAATGCTCTATAAGAAGATAAGGGTGATAGTTAACCAACCTAGTGAATATACTAAAAACCAATGAGCTCTATACTTTAAAAGGGTGAATTTTATGGTATGTGATTTATATCTCAATTAAAAAAATATAATGAGTCAACCTAAATATCCATCAATAGGGGCTGTTTAAATAAACTATGGTAGAATATACTATGGAAACACTGTACAGATGGTCCAAACAATGGGGCAGGTCTTTATGTACTGATATTGAAGGCTGCCCAAGACACTATTCAATGATAACAGCAAGTTTCAGAACACAGAATAACATGCACAATATGACCCTATTTGTGTAAATAAACACATACACACACATAAAATGAATGTGGACAGATACACCCAACTGATGAAAGTGGCTCCCTTTGGGTGGAACTAGATGAGAATCAATGGGAACTTTTTTCTATTTGTATTACACACATTTTAAAAACAAAAATGTATTCTTGTACTTGAAAATAAATTTTAAAAAGGAAAAGGGGGGGAAAATGTAGTGAACTAAAAATGGCATGTCAGTCTTAGCATCAAATATTTTCGATGTTTGTCTGCTGTTTGTTTTCTAACCCCATCACAGTGTAACAGCTCCCACATATGCTGCTTTAAACAAAACTTTGACATGTAAAAATCCAAACCAAACCAAACCAAACCAAAAACCGAAAACATTCAAAAACTTTTTTAGCAAGAATATCCCAGGCTCTATCATAGGCTGTTTGATTTCTTTTTCACTTTAAAGTGACACCTGTCAAGAGCATTTTTAAAACAGGAGCCTTTTCTTTAAAATGCTGTCTTCCATTTTAGTAGTTCAGGTGGATTGATACTTACATAGAGGAAAAGGTAGTTTGTCACTAGTTGACTATTTTAAACTACTGTTAACACTATAGTGAGAAAGGTTTCAGTCGGAAGTTCTAGGAAGAGACAGGATGTTTTTGAGAATAAGTGATGTTGATTTCAAGGTTTATTAATATATTAAAAAGTAGTCTCTGATGTACTAATATTTACCTTTAAATATAAAAGTGTTTATTCTTATAAATCCTTAAGGTTTGTTCTGCAGCGGTTCTCAACCTTCCTAATGCCGCGACCCCTTAATACAGTTCCTCATGTTGTGGTGACCCCCAACCATACAATTATTTTCATTGCTACTCTATAACTGTAATTTTGCTACTGTTATGAATCGTAATGTAAATATCTTTTTGTTTTCCGATGGTCTTAGGCGACCCCTGTGAAAGGGTCATTCGACCTCCAAAGGGGTCGCGACCCACAGGTTGAGAACCACTGTGTTAGAGTAAGATGTTTCCCCAGCAGAAACTGTGCTGCATGCGTTTCATGTGACTGACAGACACAGCAAAATCTCCAAACAGTAAAATAAACCATCAATGATTCTATCATCTTTGTACATGGTAATTTAAATGCAGACAAAATACAAGACCCCCCCAGACAAATGTTAGACCTACTCCACTCCTTCCTGATATCTTGCCAAAAGAATTCACTATTGAATTAGTCACGATTTGACTGTGGAGTTTTGTTTGCAATATGATAAATACAGCAGTGTGGGAGCAACTTTTATTCTTACACGACAGGGTGACAGAAAAGGGGACATCTGCACTTCCTTTATGCCAATATGAGCCACCACCAAAGTAAAGCACTTAGGATCCAGGCATGCAGATCACTTAGAAGCAGCCTGGGAGAAGAGACCCCTCCTCAGGGGTTAGAGATCTGGGGTACCTAGTGGGGATCTACTGGGATTTCCTTGAAAAAAGTGTTCACAAATTTTGAGAAGGCTGAAGGGAGTGATCCTTACTAAAGCCACTGGTCTTTACTAATTGCTTGGGTTAAGACTTTTCTCACACACTTAAAGGCACAGGGAAGAGCATAGGATTTCATCAGTAGTGGTCTATAATGTCTAATGGTGCTTAGCAGACCACTGCAACTGCTTGGATTAAAGCAGTGACTATCAGCACAGATTCTGGACTTTCTCTATAATCATCTCCAAATGCTCTAACAAGAAGCCCAAAATGAATATCACATGACAAAAAAGGACTTAAGCTATTCTAATCTTGAATAGCTAGACAAAAATGAATATGGTGTTGGACCTTATAAATACAGCACTTTAATAAATGCTACAATATGTACCATTTTACAGCATATATTACTTTGCAGAATTGGCCTTCTTAAAATCTTCTTTGATTCTGGAAACAATTCTAAGACTGATTCCTGGAGGAGGAGAAGATGAAGGCCCTACAGTTTGGTTTTGTGGCTGCTAAAACAGGATCACTAGAAAAGTCTTGTGGGAGATAAGCAGGTTCCCACATTGCTGACAGCTTCCTCGAGACCAAGACGCAGAATTTGGAACGATGTTTGATGTGACCATGAGGCCTTTGATGTGGAAATATTGAATTCGAGTTGTCAGCTCCATGAATAAACATCCAAGATGACACAGCATAAGAAAGTGGTAGAATTTTAATTTTTTGCTCTGACTACATGGGAGTGAGTTTAAACTTGGTTCCATAGAACTGTAGTACATCTACGCCTCCTCATGCTAATATATCTCATGTTACCACTCCACAGTGTTTTACCTAAATACCTGGAATTCACACTGGATAAGGTGTTGTGTTCCTGTGGAAAGGATATTAGAATTCATCTGGGCTTTAGAACATTAAAAGGCTGAATCTTTCAGGATCTTCAGCCATGCTCTTTTGTACTGAGAAAGGCTAACAAAGGCATTTCCAGTGACTATGAAACACAGGGTTCCTTCTGAATTAGTTCATAATTGTTTTGGTTAAGCTGAAAGCACTGGTTTTAGGGATAAAAGGACGCCCTGTATCTACGTAATATAAATACTATTATAGATAAACGCTAAAAACTTATTTCTACCATTTAGGACCTTGACCTCAGTGATACGAAACATTCAGATCACTAGGCAGATGTTTGGGGCTCAATGTTTAGTCTCTAGTTGGGTGTCACAAAAATCACTACGTTGCTTTTTTTCTTGCCTCGTACACTGACTAAGGTTTAGCCTGCAATTAAAAGATCATGTTGAAGCAACTACCTAACTTACTTGAGAAAAAAGATCCATTCATTTTCTCAAGAGAGGTTTCCATTTTCCTGAAGCTCATAACATACCCAAGTCCCTTATGACACATCTCCTTCCTCAGGGAACAAACCTCCCAGAGCAGGTGTCCTCCAGCCCCCAACCCCAAACAAAAGAAAAAATTACCATCAGAGGCACAAGACCCACATGAAGAGAACCCAGCCTCCCGACATTCAAAGAAACACCATGAGAGCACAGGAAGTGAGGCTGTGCTGTATGAGGATGTTGGAAGCACAGGTATTCAACAGGCCAGTTATTTCCTCAGGACAGATGCCACACATTGGAGGCTGTGACGTCATGGTTCGTCCTCCCCTTTCCATCTGGATACCCTCTGATTTCTGAAGGCCAGGATTGGACGAGAAAGAGAATACTGGGATTGTACCACCAAGTCTGGGGTACTTGGCATCCCGGTTGCTCCTGGCAACAGACCGCCCCACCCCCTCATTGGCCTATTAGAGCTCTGCCTACAGGCAGGACAGACTCCAGAGTGATAACAACAAAGGCTGAGCAGCACCGTCACCCTTTTGTCCCACAGAGGGGCCTGTGGCTACCTCACTGTCATCCTCTTTGCCCTCCAGAACCAGGGCAGAGACAAGGTACCATCTCCCACATCACACATCTCTACACAGTGGTGCCTTTCCGTTGTCTCTGTTCTGACAGTGATGTCTAACTCCTGCTGGGTGTGACAACTGGGATCTCAAGACGCTTGCTGAGATCTGCGGTAGTCAGATGTTTTGAGTTACTTCACAGAGAGGACACTGAGGCATGGAGAGGAGCTTTATTCAAGGGTTGGGTACAGCAGGCAAAGAAGGAGGGTGTTCGGGCACCCCAGTTATTTTCCTGACTTCGCATCTCCAACTTCAGTAAGTTCTAATATTGAATCTTTGTTTCCTTAAAGCCCCACTGCCTCCAATGACTATTTTTCTAAAAAAAGTCAAGATACTAAATCCGACTTACAGAACTGAGTAGGAAAAAATCCCAAAGGAACATGAAAAAAACAACAACCCAGCTCACAGAGGAGGCCACTCTGCCTTGAGTGGGCAGCCCTGGGAACTTCAGGGGATTAATAATCAGTTTGCAAATTACTCAAAGGAAAGTGATACTATTGCTATTTCTCCACACAAGCGGAGATGGCTGGTGATGCCATGAAAGTGTCACCACTTTAGATTGGTGTGTTCTGTGCTTAGAATTTTTGACATGTCAATGACATGGCCATACTTTTTAGGCTTTGTGATGGATCACTCATGCTGTAGGATGAAGGTAACAGAGGAGTCTCAAAGGATGTTCTTTAAAAAGTCATATACCTTTGGCTATTGTGGGTTGAATGCTGTTTAGTCAAGTAAGGCACATTCCTCAATATTAAATATTTTCTCTTTGCTCATCTAGCCATCTAGAAATAAAGAGATGATAAATACTGGGGGAAAAATCAGTTTTGTTTTCCGAAAACTAAAAAAGTGCTGAAAAACAATATGGAAACTCAAATATCGGAATTATTTTTCTAACCAGACAGTACTGTTTGAAAATCCTAAACATTGGTTTTATTTAAGTTTACATCATATTTGGATAGAAAGAGTCTCTGATGAGCTTTTCCTAGGTTAGAAACAAGTGGCAAACAAGTCCTTGATTCAGCTTGTCAGGCCTCCCCATCGCTTCGTGATGCTTAAAGACACATGCCGATCCTTGTGTGGACTTGGGATTAGTGCCTTGACTTCGTCCCTCAGAGCAATGTGTTTAAAATTGGCTGTAAGAGGAGGATTTTCAGAGAGACGCACAGGGATTTATTTCCCTGATTCCCATTACTGTAAGAGCTGTGAATCTAAATCGTTTTGCAGCCGACCCAAAATTTACCCACTGCTGTCCCAGTGTGTCAATTAAACAATAAAAACCAAAACAACCGTGATCAGATGTCATTCATTTGAGAACAGAGTTTTATAATTTTCCTCATGCCAAGCAAACAAATTCACCCCGCTGATGACAAATACAGAATCATTCAGTTGGGACAAAGAGAACACAAATCTCAAGTCTAAATGTTTCTTGTGCTGTTTGTCAGGAAGTTGTACTATTAGTGAAAGACTGTGCTCTTCTGGGAACGTGAAAACGAGGAAATAAACTCTGGCTCCAAATTGTTGGAAATGCAGTTCGTGTTGTTTTTTCCTTTCATTAAAAAAAAAAAGTCTTTCAAGACTCCAGTTGATCCAGGTTTCATAAAAAATGTATTACTTCTTAAAAAATATGATTCTGATAAGAACAGACTTCAGCAGGGTAATAGGCAAAACTGCATAAGAGAAAGACAGTTCTTGAAAGACTGCTGGGCGTCTCTTTGCCCAATCATCTGGGAAAGAGTATCAAGTTGGTGGTCCCTGGAGTAAGCAGAGCCAAGTCCCGGTCCTGACCATCTTTGGAGTGAGGCAGTCTCCATGGTGTCGCAGATCTATAGTTCTGCTTCATGACAAGGTGTATCTGAATCTAAGGATATAGGCTGGGTAAAGTGAAGTAATCGGTTTGTTTTTGTTGCTCATTCTGCCTCTTTAGTTTAGTTTAGTTTGGGGAGGAGGGGAATGAAAAAGTACAGAGAGAAGGTTGAAAATAAAGTTAACAGAAAACCCTCCCACCAGGGGGCTGTACCATGGCAAGCCACTGGTCTAGTATTTGGTTCTATTAGTTCAAAATTCTTATTTTCATCCACCAAATATTGCAACTATTCCACCATGTTAGTTTGAATTGGAAAAACCCGGCATACACAAGTCAGGGTATTAACTTGTGTCATTAAGGAATGTCGAGTGGAACAGTGTCCCAGGGCCACTGGTTGGACAGGCATCAATGCGGTCATCAATGTGAACTCCTCAAGCCTCCTACTCAGTGTTTGCTGGGACATTGGGTGTATTCTCACGCACGCATGTGCATGTGTGTATATGGGCTGGGAAATGGGAAATACGACTAGTAAAAAGTATAATTATAATGAACAAAAACATACTCTTTCTTCCCATGAAAAATAGCAGACTTAGTAATGATAATCTGTGGGAGCTACATTAAAAAAATTCATGAAACAACAAGGTCACTCTAAAGAGATTATGAACTGGGGACCAGAATACTTACTCAAAACATATTTTGATTCTGAAGGTTCCTTGTGAAAAATTCACAGAGAATGGTGGATGTTTTTTTACGTACAACTCAATTTCTCTCATTTACAACATAGATCATTTAATGTAACATTTGCAACCTTAGGAAGGCAGACATGTTTAATCCAAGTCAGTTTATAAATTCCAATTTCACATGGATTAAGAACTGCAGATAAATTAAGTCACAATAATATCCTGTACATGCATTAAGGCTGGTGACTGCTAAAGTCTCTTGGGTATCTACAAACAGGAAATCACACACAGATTACTGGGTCTGAAGAGTGTCTACATCATTAAAAAAATCTAGCTTTTTTTTTTTCTTTTTTTGGTGATACAGATTTCAACAGTAACTCTGGAAAACTGTGAAAAATGTTATTTAAAAATATATATGTATATACTACTGCACAGTTTCAAAGATGTGATTCATAAATAATGTTGGCTGCACTGATTAATTTTATAACAATTACTGCACTTCCAACGTGATGCGAACACGCAGTGACTTATACTTAATATTAGGCACTAGTAATAGCCTTCAGGCGTCCTACAGTTTTATGGTAGCTGTATTGTACATATATATTTTTAAATGTATGCATTTATACAAACTGTGTATATTATGCATGGGATGTCAGAAATGTACACATCACTGTTATATAATACACACATCATTGTTTTACATACGAGGATAAGTTTGAGTGCAGAAAGTCTCATTGCATTGCGTTCCATGTGTTCAATCTAGTACACAATGTCAACTCTTCAGGTTACTTTTCCAGTATGTTCCCTTTTAGATAGTGGGTCTGTGTTTCCATTTGCAATTTGAAGTTTTCAGACATTACTGTTTTAACCAAACCTCTCTTTCCAGGTACAATTCTGCACATAAGTCTGATCTGTGTAGAGTAGTAACAAATCCCAAATTTTGACCAGGAATGTATTTGGGTTACTTTTCTTTGAAAGGTAACTCTAACATTGTGATAAAGCATGGCATTCATTCAGGTCATGGAAAGGTAAGGTCAGTTGAACTTGTGTTGAACTTCTGAAAAAATAATATGTTTTCAAATAGAAAGAAATGATACTAGACATTATATATTGAAATGGGAGAGTCTCTAGAAGGATATACACAAAACTGTGAGCAGTGGTTGTCTCTGGAGGGTGGGGCTTACTGCCTTCTACTTTCTATAGCTCTGTATTGTCTGAATTTTTACAATGAGTATGTATTGCTTTTATAATCAGGAAATCCAAGATAGTTCTACTTTGAACAAAAATAAATAAAAGGAACAGTTATGAATGACTTTAACAAGCAATGATCAGAAGATGGTTCCTTACCAAAATCATCTACGTCCAAGCAAATAGAAATCACTGCCCACATTCTCTACTGAAGAAACACAAGATGGTGAGAGGAACTGCATGCTCTGACCATCCCGGAAATGACCAGTGGCGTTTGGTTGGGAAACATGGGTCACCAAGGAGCTGATAACATGCCACTGGCACAGTCAGCCAGAGGCCACCTGTGTGTCAGCTGGAGGCCATCACATGGATACCACACAAGACACGCAGCTTTGAAGATGGAGGAGGCCAGCAATACACCCTGGGGATGCAGGACAGACCCTGAGGAACCCTTTATGTGACAGTTTGAACATTTCATCATAATTCAGCAAGAGTAAGCAGAACTAAGCCTCAGTCCTCCAAGAAAACAATTTACAATTTCTTAAGTTCGACTCCAATTTCCAACATCAAATGGGATCGTGAATTCTGCGAACAACAATTAGTGGCAGGGATGTGAGAAGCACCTTAGTTGGATAAATGCTAACTAGAAATTCTGTTAATAGCTCAAGATGCTTAAAGGCCAAAGCCATATGCAAATTTCATAAACCTTTCATCTGCTCATTTTAAATGAATTTCAGATCACCAAAGTGGTTCAATCGTTTGTACAGTTTTGAATCAGTGCTTAGCTAGGGAATTACAGCAATCTTATTTCCCACCAAAAAGTGCCTGACAAAAATGTTAACATTGCGAGCCGACAAGATATAGGTTTCCACTGATGGTTGGTTAATGAGACCACCAGTGAAAGCATACATCCATATCTGTTATATATGATTTGTGCCACCATCACCTTGAAAAATGGATTGCTCCTCCTGTTTTTCTCAGAGTGTCCTGGTGCAATTTTGTCAATTGAGAGGCCTCAAGGACATTATTTTTGTTTTTAAAATGTGACAAGGGATATCTTTTTTTTTTCAGGAGTTTTTCTTTTTAACCAATATTTTTATATCCAAGTATATTCACAAGAAGACTACATCTAGGGCATGGCAAGAGACTATCAAAGAAACAAGTTTCAGACAAAAACTGTAAACAAGATGTCAAAAAACTAAAACGTAAACTTAAAAAAAAGAGAAAAAGAAAAAAGAATTGAGGGCAAGACAGAGCAGACGAGTGGGATATATAAGTGCAATGTTCTGGTCATTGATACCCAAACAGCATGGCGACCACTGCAGGAATAACTTCCCCTGGACAGTAAGCAGCTTGCTCATCAAAGCCTGAAATATTCCGCCCCCTGCTCCACCCCTACCCCAGTTCAAAATGCATTAAAAGTGGCACATTCTGTACAAAGAGTGAGAGGGCTGGACAGTATCATGACAGCAAGTAGTTCTCAGACAGATAAGCAACGGATACAGTCCCAGCGAAGGGGGCTTCTAGGTAATGTCCTAACGTGACCAAGAAAATTTGTAAGAAAGCTATTGTGGAAAGAAAAGACTTGAAAAATACCAGTGGACAAATGCCACATGGCTCTACAGCCACTATGTCACAGTGGCAGGAAAAAGAAACAAACACATGTGCTGGGCGGGCTTGTTACACGTGCAAAAGATTTCAATTCCTAACTCAGCTCCAAGATGCAGCTGCTGCTGTTTTCATGTTGGTTTACGTTCAAAGGCACTGAGTCCTTACCAGGTCTCAGCGCCATTTTCATACTATTTGGGGGAGCAGGGCAGGGAAGGCCTGTGGGAGTTGATCCATTTGTTTATAACGCGTTTAGTTGAGAATAAAGTTGGATGCAGGGGTTGGGTGTTTGATGAGAGGCAGGGTATTTGGTAACATGCAACCTAGTAAATGTCCAGCACAAAAATAACCGACTTATTGTCATTATTCAATTACCCATTAATATACATAGTTAAAAAATAATTGGGGAATAGTATATTAATACTGAAAGTAATCAATAATATAAGGACTAGGCTCATCCTAACTGGCAGTCAAGCTTTTGGTGTGCTGCATTGCACCTGGTTAACTAACCCATGAAATTTTGGTTGAATGTTCTGAGAAGTCATGGTTGAGCTTTGAAATAGAAAAGTGTGTGTGTGTGTGTGTGTGTGTGTGTGTGTGTGTGTCAGAGAGAGAGAGAGAGAGAGAGAGATATTGATTTTGTGTGTGTATGTATGTAAGCGTATTTTCCCTAATCAGAAAGCTCTGATCACTTGGTTTAGCCTGGGATTACAGAAACCAGACAAAGAAAATGTGTTCTAAAGAGCTGTGTATCTTACACACATACACAGGCAGCTTCTTCTACACCCACACATACAAACACACATGCCCTGGGAAAAGACCATTGTTCGATGCTGAGAAATAGTCACCGCAGTTTGATAAATGCTGGGGGTTTCAGTAGCACAGTGTCCCGAAACATTGAGCCATCCGTGGAGACGAGAGCACAATCCAGCTCAAGGGTGAGGTCCCTACGACAGGTGGGTGCTGTTCCGCAGCCAGTGCAGGCCCTGCTGGGAGTACTGGACCAGGTGCTCCATGCTGCTGTGCAGGGTGACAGGCCCCATGAGCAGGTCCAGGTCATTGAAGAATTCTAGGGAACAGAGGAAGTTGTTAGAGTGCCACACATGCCAAGTGTGCTACCCTGAGACACCTGAGTGACTTAAGAAAAAATTCCATTCGTGGTCTCTCTATAAATCATGCATTCTATGTTCCATCATGTGATCTTAGCATTTAATCAAACAGAACGAAACACAAAGGTGGAGAGCTCATTCTATAGCCAAATAGCCACTCTATTGGCCGTTTTTCATTAAAATGAATAATATTTACTTAGCCAAACAGCAAAGAACACTGATGTCCTCAGACTGTGTTCTCGTGCAGTAACGTGTCCTGCCCTGCACATGGGTGGTGGCTCTGTCATCCTGTATCCTGGACTCAGCTGTGGCATGTGCTGAGCCCCTGGAGCAAGTACAGGCTCTTGGAAGCAAACCAGAGATGGCTCTGACACATCTCTGCTGAGGTCACCTCCTCATCCTTGGACATTCTCTGGGTTTGTCCTGTCATTAAACATTTATTGTGTGCCAAGGTGCTATGCTGGGTGCAGGGGGTGGAGAGGGGGTAGAGGCAAAGAGTGTGCCAAGATGAACCATCTCTCTCAAGATGTCACAGCTTAGTGGCTAGTAGAGACAAATAAATTTAGCTGCTATGCTGTCATAACTGGATCATGGAACAGCACTTCTCAAAGGATGTGATGGGAGAAGTTTCTCAAAGGTGGTGATATACATGCTGGGAAGGCAAAGGAGGTGTTAGCAAAGACCCCAGACCAGGTGGCTGGGGAGGTGGCCATGGCAGGGACCCAGGAGCAGGACAGGGAGGAGGAGTGGGTGGGGGGAACAATGCCAACTTCACGTTGGACGGGTGGCACTGAGTTCTCTGGTAGGAGACGTCTAGCAGGCAGCTGGCAGTGCCAACTGGAGCCTGGCCTCCTCAGCATCTCCCAAACTGGTGATATAAAATTTTATACATTTGTCCCTGCTGTTTTGTCCACCTGTGACACCCACCCCACTCCATCTCAGCTACTCAACTATTTAATTGCTCTTCAAAACCCTGTTCCATGCCGGCTTCCCATTCGGTTTTCAGAGTCACCACCTCTGGGCTGAATGTCACATACTGTTTGGCTTTATTATCAATTTCATGTAGTTAGCACATCTGACTATCTGTGTCATAAATTCCTCATCTCATCGTGGACATCCTGGTCTTGTCCTCAGAGGCTTATGCTATTGTGGGAACAAAATTTACATTGAAATGTTTGTAGTGACCTCAGATTTGTACTCTCACCTATTGCTGAAGGGAGAGTATTAAATTGGTGTAACCTTTTGGGAAAAAAGTTTACAATATGTATCAAGATATTTAACAATATATATTTTAAAAGAATCTATACCTCTTTACCCCAAAACTCTACTTCCATAACTCACTCCTATGAAAATAATAAAAAATATGGACAATGATTTATATAAAAATATGTATAACATTGGGCTGGCCGAGTGGCGCGATGGTTAAGAACTGGCTTGGGATGCCAGAGGGCCCCGGTTCGGATTCCTCATATGAGGGCCAGTGACACTGCCCTCTACAGCTAAGATGCTGAACAACAGCTCAACCTGGAGCTGGGCTGCCTTGAGTCGCCAGCGACCGCGTAGGCTGCAGCCCCTGCGGCAGTGGGTTGCCATGGGCTACCGTGTGTAGCCAGCAGCCAGCGTGAGTGGCCAGCAGCCGCAGTGAGCGGCGGTCCAGAAGCCGGCGACTGATCTGCCTCGCCCGGGAAGAGCGCAATGATGGTGCCAACTTGGGCCAGTGAAGCAACATCCTCCACAACTAGACTGAAGAACAAAACAACAGCAACTTGTCTGTTCCCCTTCCCCCAATTCCCCAGCGCTGTTCCTATCCCCCCAATTCCCCAATAAAAATCTTTAAAAAAATATTTATAACATTATTTGTAACAGTGGAAGAAGATTGGAAGTAACCTAAATGTCCAACAACAGAGGAAAGGTTTGAGAAATCATGTTTGTTTACGAATGCATAACCACTATTATGACAATATTATAAAACCATCATAAAGGATATTTTTGAACTAGTTAGTGCTGATAGAGTATTAAATGAAAAAAGACAGGGTATAACATTGTACTATGATCTTATTTTGGTAAAAATCATGCATATTTGGAGGAGACTAAAAGAAACTTCAGTTAAAATGTTAATAGTAATTATTTCTTGGTGATAAGATTATTGTTGATGTAAACATTTTTTTCTCTATCATTTTTTGTACTTTATGAATTTAGCCACAGTAAACACACATTCCTTTGAGAATCAGTAAAAACAAACATTTAAAAAGAAATATAGCTTACTGCTACATGTAAAACACCCTCTTTTCAGTGGTAAGAGCTATCACTTAAATAGCTAGTAATATTCATACTCATGAATTAATCAATACTTCAAATCTCCAACTGTATCCTAGGTACTGTGCAGGTCTTGGGAATACAAAGTAGAATAAAATATAATCCTTACTTCAAGGTGTGGTCATGTGTGTGTCTATCTATATCTGTATCTGTATTGATATCTGTGTCTATTTATATCCTCTGTGTCTATATCATCTTTATCTTTACCTCTATCTCTAATTTTCCACAGTGAAGATAAAGGTAGGTAAAGGCACAGGAGGCCCTGAGTGAGCAGAAGAGGTCAGGAAAAGTTTCACACAGTAGGTGACAGCTGCTACGATTTCTTCTTTGGGGGAATGATGACTTGTTTGAGGATGCCTAAGGGTCAGGCTGTCTCCCTGATCTGTGGCTGAACCACACACACGCTCCCCAGAGGCACACACACCTCTGTTTTCCTTGGCCAGGTTGTCTGCCATCTCCCAGTAGTCATAGCTGTGGAGGATGCTGTTGGTGATGCTGACGTGATTGGCTGCCATCTGGTGGATGCGCTGTGGGATGCTGACGATAGTCGAAGGGGACAGGGTGTTGGCACTGGAAAGGCTCCCCTGAGATCCCACGGAGCTGGTGGGGGAGGGGTTGGGAGACATGGGGGATGGGGTTCCAGTGCTCCTAGAAGAATGTAGAAAAACAAGGGTGGAGAGGCTGGTACCGGGTGAGGTTGGGCAGCCCCTCAGGGCACTGTAAGCAATGGAGCACACTGCCCAGCATCGGGCACTGACTCATGTATTGCCTTCACTTAGGAAAAAAGAACTTACTTTCCACTGGCCCCCCATGGAGATGGGGCTTGGGCAGCTTTAGATGAATTCTGCAGGAAAATAAAAACATTGGCAGTGAGTCATCTGCTGAAGTTTAAAGAGCCAGCAATAACATGTTCTCAGGTGATGGTTGGGAGAAGTAATGGCAGACACTGCAGACAAAATGAAGATTCCTAGGGACTGGATCTGGGAAGTCACCGATCCTAGGCTATTGCCCCCTTCTCTGGAACCTGGACAAGGGCAGCTGCATGGCCTGCGGGGTTCCACAGTTCATCCCACCACCTGGGTTTCCATGCACCAAATTCTATGCATCAAATTAAATCATAATCTGGAGGGTCTGTTGAATCCTGAACCAGTCTAATTTTTTCATCTTAAACTTACATTTAACTGACATAACATTTAATGCCTGAAAATATATGAGACATCAAATTCCATTATTTTAACTTATGAGGCTTAGAAGTATTTCTCTTGAAGGAAGTTGCTCTTGAATATTTCTAAAGAACAGATGAAACTATATTTCCGTGACAGATAGGGTATTCAAAAATCCTGATTTACCTGAATATTCTGCTTTGGGGGGGTTAGGTTGAATGAGCCAGTTGTTGGCATCAGGCATTTACAAGAAGTTTTGCCTCAGCAAGGAAAGTTCCTAAATGTATGACCAGATTTCCTCTCTGAGAGCCCAAGAATGCTTTCTTGGACCCAAGCCTATGGGACTGTTTAGGAAAAAAACCAGTCTTTATGATGCTGATGTTAATTTTTCCTTCCAGAGACAAAAACAGCCTCAGCCTGGTTCCCCGGAGACGAAGCATTTCTTTTGGTTAAAAAGAGCTTTATGAAGCGGTGACTGATTTTTAATTGTCAGTGGGGGTGTTATCAAAATGGTAAGAAATGGCCATACATGTGGCAATTTTGCAATTGCCTTCAGGCCTCTTCCACTACCACTAAGCCCTGTGACTGTAAAAACCCTGAGTGGGAACAAAGGCCTCTGTTCGGAGATAGCTCCATACCAATAAAACCCATTCGTTATGGACAAATTCTCGTTGTTACCTGAAGATTGCATAATCTCTGAACTTTAAGGAGCATTTAAATAGCCTTTGATTAGGGACAACTACCAATAACTCCTGGATGAGGAACTCTGATTTCTTTTTACTAGTTTCAGGTGTACAAAGCAACATAATAGTTAGACATTTACACCCCTCACAAAGAGATAACCCCCCTCCCCCAATCTACTGCCCCTCTGACATAGTATATAGCTGTTACAACTCCATTGATGATCACGACCAATGCACTGTACAACTGAAGCTGGAGTAGAATAATATTGTGTGTCAACTAGAAGGAACTCTGCTTTTTAAGTTGTGTTCTCTCCCCATTCTGTACATATTCACGGACTGCATACACACATTAAGAACTTTTTAAAAGTTCTGTGGTAACCTCTGTGGCCTACAGAGTTCAGATTCCTTCTCTAGTCAAGCATTTATCTTGGCTGTAATAACTCTCCTTAGTATCAGCTCTCAGATCTGAAAATTTTGAAAACGACTTATCTCGACCTTAGGTGCCCAAAGTGAAAGGAACGGCTTAGTGTCAGTTCTTGTTATTATGACACATGATGATCAATGGGCCAAGAGAGTTATCTCCTTGGCTGAGACCTGGTTACTCTCCATGCATAACCGGAATGAAGCGACATGCTGGACACAGTCCATGCGACTCCCAACATAGCCTGGTCTTCAGAGATAATCTCTAAGAAGTGGACGTTGGGCATTAAAGGATCTGAAATGATGGTTGTGTATCTGACAAAGGTTTGGTGGAGGTAGAGATGGAATAATTGCTCGTTGCTATAGACAAATGGACAGAAAAGAGGCTCAGAAATCTCAAATTAATTATTAGTTCAGGTCCACTTCACCACGGTACATCAAAGAAGGTTTTCTTGTTTTATCTCCCAGTGCAAATGATTTCATTCCCCGAGACAGGTGAGCGTTCTAATTCTATTTTTATAGTAACACATGGCTATTGTCCTGGTGCCTCCGAGTTCTAACAAGTCATTTCATATCATTTAAAATAACATCTTTATTAAAATTAAATTAGCTCCTGGAGATAGCTAAGGGGAAGTTCTAAGTAGTTATTTCTAAGAGACAGAAACTCGAAGTAAAGATGAGGAATTTATCTTAGCTATCAAGATGAATTTCCTAGGATATGGAATGGGTAACTGGATCTTCTTTCTCTTGCAGCCATAAAAATACTTGAACACACAGCAGGGGGATAAATGAGACAGGCTCTCAAGGCCATTCTCTGAGGCCTGAACACCATGGATGTGCATAAATGGGGTTAATGTGGGTGTCAGAGGGCTCCTGTATTATCCCAACAGCCATGGATTCTACCAGGTTCCTTAAAAGTGTCTTTGACAAGGAGACAACTAAATAGAAGGAACAATGTCACCCATTAGCCAGACAGTACCTTGAAATAGTCGATAAGTGCTTTTGAATACTTTACAGCATGATCCCTTTTGAGTCGAAACATCCGCCAGTACAGGAGAGCCAGGCATCGGTAACTGCAGCAAAAGAAGAGAGCTAAGCCCTGAAAGCATGCGTGTGTCCTTTGCAAACAAGACTTGAAACAAATCTTGTTCCAAGGTACTTAATATTTATACCATGAGATCTATCTATTTATCGATCGATCTCATGGAATATGTATGTATGTATGTATGTATGT